GCAGCAAACCAACATAGGAACATGTATACATATGTAACAAACCTGCACATTGTGCACATGTACCCTAGAACCTAAAGTACAATTAAAAAAAAAGGAACCCCACTGATGGGAGACAGGTATACAAGCAAAGAGCCCTGCATTTAAAACTAAGCCCTCACAGGCACTAGTGGGGTGACATTGAGCAGGTCACTTCTCTGAGCCTGGGTTTCTCCTTAGGGCTGCCCTGAGGAAGAAATGAGTTAGTGTATAGGAAGAGTCAAGTAGACTTTCACATAGAATAAGCCCATAACACGTGTTCGTGAATATTGTTGATCTTCTTACCATCTATAGCAAAAGGTATTTACCCAGTCCCTTAAGCATGGGCTACACTTAGTGAGTGACTCCTTCCAAAGAGTACAGTGTGGAGAAGCAGAAAAAAGAGTAACTTTACAAAGAGGAAGCCTAACATCACTTCACCTAGGTGATCCAGGTCCACAGCAGGGATGAGTCATGCCAACAGTTCACACCCTCACCGTGATGTGATGCGAGGGGCACTTGACCTCAGTGGTCATCCTCCCCCAAATCCCTAATTCCAATCTAACTATGAGCAAAGCATCAGGCAAATCCCAGGAAGAAGGACATTCTACAAAATACCTGGCCAGTATTTCTCAAAACTTTCAAGGTCACTGAAAACAAGGAAAGCCTGAGAAAGCAGTCATAGCCCAGAGGAATGTAAGGACTCGTATTGACTTGGTGTAATGCAGTATCCTGAATGAGATCCCAGAATAGGAACAGGATATTAAAGAAAAACTAATGAAATCCAAATGAATTATGAAGTTTAGTTAATGATAACATATCAGTATTGGTCCATTAGTTGTGATAGAGCTACATGCTGAAAAGTAAAATGTTAATAGTAGCGGAAACTGAGAGCAAGGTGTATAGGAATTTCTGTACCATCTTTGCAACTTTTCTGTCAGTCGAACACTATTCTAAAATAAAAATTTATTTAAATAAACAAGAGGCTGAAGTCCCACTTGCCAGGAATGTTTCAAGTGGTCTTCACACGTTAGAAGGGGAAGATATTAGACTTGACACATTCTGTGATATCCAAGTCTAAACTTGTATGAAATCACTTTTCACCTTGAAGAGCCCCCAGGCCCATCTCTTTGGCCTAGGTCTATTTTCTCAAGGTGGTTGCCGTCCCACTCCTCATGCTATGAGGTCTTAGTTTCTAAAGCCTATGTGCTACTAGCAGCTTCCCCCCAACTTGTTGCTGACTTAAAAACAAGATGTCTTCACAATTCATACCTTCTCGTTGTAAAATCTTTCAGAGAAGCAGAAAGCAGATGAGCACAACTATTAACAGGGAGTTTTACAAGGCTTAAGCTAAATCTCAGTCCTCTTTCTGAGATGGTAACTTCTAAAAGTGACTAATATTTCCTGAGCATATATTCAATGCCAAACACCAGTCTAAGCACTTTACAAAGTAATCTTATTTAATCATCACTAAAGGCTACAAACAAGTTACTATTAGGATCTCCATTTTACAGATGAATACATTGGGTCACAAATTATTTAAGTGACTCATGCAAGCTCATACAATAATAATGGTTAACCGGAATCCGAGCTGTTCTGTGTGCCGAACCCATTATGAGTGAAATTTGCAAATGTTTCCCTCTACATAGCAAGTTGGTCATAAAATTCATTCAGAACAGAATGATGAGTCTTCAATCACTTGTCCCGTGATATGGTTTGGATTTGTGACCCTACTCAAATCTCATGTCGAATTGTAATCCCCAGAGTTGGAAGAGGGGCCTGGTGGGAGGTGATTGGATCTTGGGGGTGAATTGCTCCCTTGCTGTTCTCATAATAGTGAGTTCTCATGAGGTCCAGTTGCTTAAAAGTGTGTAGCACCTCCCCCTTCGCTCTCTTCCTCCTATTCCAGCCATGTAATGTGTTCCTGCATGATTGCAAGTTTCCTGAAGCCTCCCCAGCCATGCTTCCTAGACAGCCTGTGGAACCATGAACCAATTAAACCTCTTTTCTTTACAAATCACCCAGTCTCAGGTAGTTCTTCACAGCAGTGCAAGAACGGACTAATGTATTCCCTTACCTCCAAAGTGTGATTCTTAATCTCAGGCTTGCCAGACAAGTCAGGAAGTAGTGGCTTCAAAATGTAAAAACACATCTTCACTAATTGACTTTTTAAAATTAATTAATTTACAACAGACATTTCTGGCTCTGCCCCATTTCTGAAGCTCAGTCATCGATTGCCCTATTTCTATCTCTCACATTAAGCCCACGCCTGGCTTCAGGACTGAAACAAGAATGGGGATGGGCTGCAAGTGTCTGTTACCTGCACTACGTCCTCAGTCAAAACAGCTGAACATTGAATGCATTGATTTTCAGTTTTGGCAAATTATCCCTCGTTTTATAAGTCTTTTTGAAATGTTATACATCCCTCCAGATTGGTTAATGCCCATTCAAACAGTCTTATTTCACAGGGAAAATGTTTAGCTAAGACTTGCTCCAAAATAAAAACAATAATTAGGCTCATAATTATTATTACTTATTGAGCATTTCCTAAGAAATTGGACTGGATGGGTACTTTACAAGATAGGTCAATGTACGCTAACAGTGATAATTAAATAAGACATTATTATATCCATTTTAGAATTGAAGAAACAAGGCTGGGTACGGTCACTCATGCCTGTAATCCCAGCAATTTGGGAGGTTGAGGTGGGTGGATCATGAGGTCAGGAGTTCCAGACCACACTGGTCAACATGGTGAAACCCCGTCTCTACTAAAAATACAAAAGTTAGCTGAGCGTGGTGGTGCTCGCCTGTAATCCCAGCTATTCTGGAGGCTGAGGCAGGAGAATTGCTTGAACCTGGGAGGCAGAGGTTGCAGTGAGCCGAGATTGCGCCACTGCACTCTAGCCTGGGCAACAGATTTCATCTAAAAAAAAAAAAAAAAAAGGATTGAAGAAACGGGCTTAGAAAGGTTACACAACCTTGTTCAAAGTCACACAGATAATACATGGAGGAGTGATTATTTGAGCACAGATTCACCTGATCCGAAGCTTGAGAACGTCCCACTAGCCTACAACACTCCTCCCATTTCTGATCTTTTCCTGGCAAGCCATGGGCTCACTGTTGTGCTGTCTTCCTAGCCTCACACAGGGCCTCTTCTTTCCTCCTTGCAATGGCCTCCTCTTGTACCGCACTTTCTCAATTCCAGGGTGTCTTCTTTCTCATCTGATAAAAATCACCATGTTAAGTGAAGGCGACCAAAAGTCTGCACTGGGTAACACCTGTGCATCTCACCTGGGACCCTCTGGAGAAAACCACCTCCTATTCATTGACAGCTAAGCACCTTGCCACAAGCTACTTAACCTCTGAAAACCTGTTTTTTCTCCTTCAAATGAACCTAGTGCTGGCTGTCCTATCTAACATCTATCCAACTCACACTGATCATTCTTGCAGGAGTTTCCCATTCATAACTGCATCATTAAATAAAAGCTTGCTGAAGAAGATGGGAAGATTTACAGGCTACAAGCATTAACTGTGCAGGTTCCACGTGACAAGCAACAGGCTAAGCACATTCATGCCGTTATTTCACGCAACAATCTTATGGTGCAATCTGTTACTGGTCTCATTTCACAGTTGAGATCATTGTGGCTCAAAGATGGTAAAAGACTTAAAATACATAACTAGAGAGGAGCAGATATTTAATTGTATATAAAATATGTTAAAGTATTTTAACGATGGTGAAGAATGAGATCAAGAAATTTTAACTGGATATACGATAAGCAGCATTCACCACTCAGCTTGCCACTTCCCCTTCTCTGGTCCTCTTTTTCATAAAGTTCAAAACCTTCTCTTCATACCTGCCTTGGTTTAAAACCAAGTTTTCTGGTTAACTTTTCTTCCTAATGAGCACTTTACCACCCTTACTACTTGCCTTTCTCTTCCACTGTGCAAAAACTCCCAGACTTCGTTGTCTGTATTGAAAAGCCACACCCTTCTGATCTTTAGAACCAATCAATAGGCCATCTTGGGAAATAGATTTCACCTCCCTTCAGGTGTCTGCATCTGTAATCAGCTTCTGAAGTCAGAATGCAGAAAGGCTGGAACAGTATCATCTGTACTTTTCACAAACGCTGATAAGTCAGCCAAGAAAACCTGAATCGTACAAATGTCCTGCGGCAGAGGTTTTGTTTGGTAGCAAGTCAGACACAGCAAGGGGACCAAAAGAAATCGTTAATAATTTTGCCTTCCTCATGATGTGCTGAAAAGCAGGCAGCCCCATGTGCTTTGATTTCTTGGGAGTGCAGTGCACACGGTGGCCTGAACACAGTAAATGGCCTGATACAACTCAAAGAACAAAAGTCTTGGAGCCTAAAGACGTGGTCGGTTCTGCTCTTACTAGGTACACAACCTTGGGCAGGTTGTTTAACTTCTGAGTCATCAGACACAAACTGGACTTAATGTTCTCGTTAGTGATACATAGTCCAGTTTGTATATAAGCCATCCATCTAAAAGTCATCCTTGCGTCTTCTCTTCCTTATCCCAACAAACAACCTGTCTCTGAATTCTGTTGATTCCATGGCTTAAATATTTCTCAAATCGCATTTCCAATCCCACAAGCTATATTAGTTGGCATCATAATGTCCTAAACTGACACTATATACTCCTAGTCCATTTCCCTCTTCCTAACACCAAAATATCCCTTCTCAGTGCATTCAGGTGTCTTGCTAAAGTGTACGTCTCATCATCCTGCTCCTGATTAAAATATAGTTCTCATTCTTTACAGAATAAAGTAAGACTTTACCATCATAGGGCACAAAGCCCTCCATGACCTGATCTTACCTATCTGTATTAGGAATCTTCCAGATGCAAGTGACACCTCTGAAATAGGCTTAATCAAAAAGAGTATGTATTAACTTACGCAACTAAAACAGCCTGCTGAAGCTCCAGGCAAAACTGGGTCCAAAGCTCAGCCTCATCACAAAGCTGTCTCTCTCCATCCCCTGCTTGGCTTTCCTCCAGAGTAACTTTATTCCTTATTAGGTTCTTCCTGCTTCATACTAAATTGGCCCCCAGCAGTTTCAGGCTTACCTAGCACCTGTTTAGCAATCCCTCTTTACCCCAGCCTGCCCAGAGACTGACTTTTTCTCACTAATTTTAACAAAAGTCACAAGGCAGAATCTCAGTGGTCCGTCCTAGATTATTTGCTCAATTCTTTACAAACACTGTACTGTAGGGGGGATATGATGGTTACGTAGGCACATCCAGGAGGCACCTGAACTACATGGCTTAAGAACAGGGTTACCCCCGACCCACCCACACACACACAAAACACACACAACACACACAAATCAGACTGCTATCACTAAAATAAGAGAAAATGGATGGTAGCCTAGGAAAACGACACCTACCCAAAGGAACTTCTCCCCTACTCGAGGCTCCAAAGTTTAGTGGCTCAAAATAACCATTTTATTTTGTGCATGGCTTTTTGGAGGTTAAGAATTTAGAAAGGGTTCAGCTGTGCAGTTCTTGGTTGGAGGCTCTTCTGTGGCTGCAGTGAGATGTCAGATGGGGCTGGCGACATGTGGAGGCTCCATGGAGCTGGATGTCCAAGACAGCTTCCTCATGAGAACAATTGTTGCAGCCAGGATGAAGCTCAGCTGGGCTGGGAACTGAATGCCTGCACGTGGCTTCCCCAGCAAGAGAAGCTCAGAGTGCATGGACTTCTTAGTCAGTAGCTCTGAGGTCCAAGCGCTGCATTTCAGCACAAAGTGGGAAGCTGCATCACCTTTTCTGGACCTAGCCTCAGAAGCCATGCAGTGTCACCTTTCTGCATTCTGTTGATCACAAAGATTCTCAGAGTCAAGGAGGGGGACACAGACTGCACTTTTGAACAAGAGAAATGTCAAGTAATTTGCAACCACAATCATTTTCTGTCGTTCTTCGAATACGTTCCCATCACTTCAACATTTTTTTTTTCTTTTTGCCTTTAGGAATATGCTTCTCCGTCTGGAATGTCCTTTTTCTCTTCTTTGTCTATCTCCCAAGTACTATTCACCCTATGAGACACGCACACCCTGCAAAGCTTCCCTCTCCCCACCACATAGTAGTATTGGTCACTTTCTCTGCAACACCACATTCCAAAAGTACCTTTTTAATTATAAAACTCTGTGCCTCTGTCTCCATCAGTAGGCTATGAGCTCCTTGAAGGCAAGAATCAAGTCTTACTTACCTCCCTACTTCACATATTAACTGTCTTTTATAGGGCTAATTGTGTCGTTTGCCTCATGGCAGAATTAGATTATACCAAGAGTTTTCTAAATGTTGAGGTGTTATTCAAACAAAGGTCGTCATTATCCATTAGTAAGGCTTTTACTGAAAAAATGTAATAACTTCTCATGATAGCTTTCCACCAGACAAATTCTAAATGGATATTCCATTTAACTGTTAAAAAAAAGTTTTAGACGCGGTGGCTCAAGCCTGTAATCCCAGCACTTTGGGAGGCCGAGACGGGCGGATCACGAGGTCAGGAGATCGAGACCGTCCTGGCTAACACGGTGAAACCCCGTCTCTACTAAAAAATACAAAAAACTAGCCAGGCGAGGTGGCGGGCGCCTGTAGTCCCAGCTACTCAGGAGGCTGAGGCAGGAGAATGGCGTAAACCCGGGAGGTGGAGCTTGCAGTGAGCTGAGATCCAGCCACTGCACTCCAGCCTGGGCAACAGAGCTAGACTCCGTCTCAAAAAAGAAAAAGTTTTAGAATTTTTTTCTTCTTCTGGCTTAAATAAGAGTGATAGCTAGTTGTTTGTTCTTTGTCCGTTATTTAGATCACTGTTCCCCAGGTTTTATCAATCAGTCACAAGTCTATTAGACTCTCCACAAGTCTATTATATCAGGTCAATCCTTCTCTACTTTCTTTATAGTTTGGTACCTAACTCTTTGTAGCACCTGATCTTCGTGGATCTAATTCTCCTATACACATGTGTGTGTATCCCACATGCACGTATGTTTTCTAAATGTCAATAAAATAAGTAGTAATACATTTGAAACATTGTTATATGGAACACACAGAAGAAACTCGAACAGAAAGCACAAATGAAATGTGTTCAATCTCACCAGTAGTCATAAAAGTGATCACGAATACTGCAACCAAATACATTTCACACTTGTATGATAGGCAGAAATATTTAAAAGACTTAGTATTTGAAGAAATAAGGTATTTTACATGTTAATGGCATGAACTGATACAATTCTTCGGGGAAGACTTGATATAGTTCTTTAGGGAACTACTTGCCAACATATAAAGTTAATGAAGCTGAGGCTATTTATGCCCTACAACCCTGCAATTGCATTTCTTGGAATATAGAGTTACTTCCATATGTTCATCCTCTGATGGGTGGACAAATAATTTGTGACAAATATTTATAAAATGGAATGTTTTACTGAATTAAAAATAACCAAAACTGTAGGGATCAATATAAATGAATCTGGAAAAAATCACATTGAGGGGGGAAAAAGGAAGTTACAGGAAAACTACTATATGACAATATTTATATAAATTTTCAAAACAAGTGAGGAAATCCTAAAAATACTTAAACTAACATAAATTTGTAGTAAAAGCATATACACCTGCCAAAAATGATTAATGCCAAAATTAGACTTGTAATTACTTTTGCAAGTCAGAGAAGAGATTCAACAGGATTGGTCATGACATTTGTTCTTAAATGGTGGTGGATACTTCATATTTGTTATAGAGTCCTCGGCCTCTTTTTATATGTCCAGAATAATTGTATTTGTAATAATAAATTTTAAAGAGAAAAAGGTTATACTATCATTGAAAGATGTTTAAAATATAAGCATACTTGTATACTTATAAACTTATATATGTAAAATACATACCAACACACCCATGCACCACCCATTAAAACAACTCAATGATCATGAAAACATACATGCAAAGTAAAAGAGTGGAAAGATATACAAGAAAATGTTACGGTAGTTAGCAGCTGGTTTGGAATTATGATTGCTTTTAGTTTTTTATTTGTGTTTTCTGCTCCATTTTCCGTAGTGAACATAATTAGCTCTTAATGAATCTGAATATTTTCGAATGTCATGGTTGTAATATATACTGACAATCAGTACACCTGTCCTGACGTGTCTTCAAGAAGCAAATAGACTCAGAAAAATGCTCAGAGCTGCATCTCTGTATACAATACCATTTGACCTAATTGAGAAAACAATTTTTAAAACAGGACATATCCCAATCTTTTGTGAGCTTACCAATTAAAAACAGAAGACAAAAAACGTGAAATGAGCCTATAAATTGAGCATAAAAAATTGCATTTGAATTTCAGTGCTCTTTGACATTTAGACATAAGGCTGGTCTCCACTCTGTCTTTTGATTCTGGAGAAAAGCTAATGCCTTTAACAAGAGTGTGAAATAGCTGTCCAAACATGTCATTCTTGCCACAGCCTTTATTCACACCAAATGTTCTACTTTCTTTTTCAAATGAGGAAAAGATAGCACTGCAGCCTTCCCCCAACTATAGGAAATGGATATAAATTGAAGCATGATTTGTGTTGGGTTTTGTTTTTCACTCACCTCCTTAGTGAAGATGCCTCCTCGCCTGAGAGCAGCCAGCTCTGTGTGGGTGTTCAGCGCTTCCAAAACTTGCTATACAGCCCACCTTGTGATAGAACAGAAATAACCAAAATGGAGCACATTTTCCTGCAGGATTTCACTTCTACCAAAAATAAAAAATAATGGCTCTCCCAGGTTACGTAAAAGAGATCCAAAGGGTTCTGGAAATATAAGAATAGTTCGTAATCTGGTGGGTCATTTTACAAATACCTTAGGAGGAATTGATCATTGCAGAATCCTCACTACCTGAATTGGGAGCCTTGGTGAACACGTGCTTAAGATGTAACACCTGAATTTTATTTGCTGCTCACCTGTACTCTATATTGAGTTAAATACTTTACATTCAATGTCTCAATGAATCCTCCTGGCAACTTTACTAGGAAGGTTTCATTTTATTAGTTCCCATGTTACAGATGGGAAAATTGAAGCTCAGAGAGAAGTTTAGTGGTTTGTAAAGGGCATGAAAGTAGTAAATGACGGGGCTGGGATTTGGACCCAGGTAGCCTGTCTGATGCCCGAACCTCTCTGCACCCGTCTTTGGAATCATTCAGTGATCAGTGCTTTTCCCTATATCATCCCTATTACTACTCCCATAGCCATTACTGGTGGATATGGTAATTAATCTCTGTTTACTGATGAAGTAACTGAGTCTCTGAGATATCAAATAACTTGCTCCCCAAAACCAAAGCTATCTAGCTTCAAACTCAATGTATTTAGCACTAGACCACGTTCTTTCATAGACCCACAGCCAGGACGGAGTGATTCCAAGTCTCTTCTTCCCTCTGTCTCTCCATCTGCAAAAAAAAAAAAAAAAAGAGAGAGCGAGAGAGAGAATCATATTTTCTGTGTTGAAAACTGCAACAGTTTGGGTGAAGAACCAATGAGATTCAATGTCAAAGAACTCTGAGAAGTATAAAGACATAAGGGATTCATATTTACACCCATATTTCAGCTAAGTTTCCTTACCTGGCATCAACAATTAGAAAACGCCAAGTCTCTCCCACTCATGCTGATAAGGCTGTGACTGATAATGTATTCCCTACTTTCCTTCATAGCAGGACTCAGATCACTGTTCCAGTATCCAGCCTTTTCCCAGACAGCCCTATACTTTAAGATTGATACACCTGTAACCCTACCAGCTTGGGAGGCCAAGGCGAGCAGATCACCTGAGGTCAGGAGTTTGAGACCAGCCTGACCAACATGGAGAAACCCCATTTCCTCTAACAATACAAAATTAACTGGGTGTGGTGGCGCATACCTGTAATCCCAGCTACTCGGGAGGCTGAGGCAGGAGAATCACTTGAACCCAGGAGGCGGAGGTTGTGGTGAGCCGAGATTGCGTCACTGAATTCCAGTCAGGGGAACAAGAGCGAAACTCCGTCTGGAAAAAAAAAAGCAAAAATTGATATGGTTTTGCTGTGTCCCCACCCAAATCTCCTCCTGAATTGTAGCTCCCATAGTCCCCATGTGTCCTGGGAGGAACACGGTGAGAGGTAATTGAATCATGGGGGTGGGTTTTCCCATACTGTTCCCATGATAGTGAATAAGTCTCATGAGATCTGATGGTTTTATAAAGGGAAGTTCCCCTACACATGCACTCTTGCCTGCTGCCAGGTAAGATGGGTCTTGCTTCTCTTTTGCCTTCTGCTATGATTATGAGGCCTCCCCAGCCAGGTGGAACTGTGAGTCCATTAAACCTCTTTTTCTTTATAAATTACCCAGTCTTGGGTATGTCTTTATTAGCAGCATGAGAACTAATACAAGAATAAGCTGCCTTCATCCCCAGGTTCAAGGGTGGACACTGACAGGTCTAAGTTAATCAAAGTAATCTCAGTCCCCTGAACATAGCGATTCTTTCAGTTAACTTTGACTTAGGACAAGCAGCCCATGTATTACCCTAACTAGGAGATTTCACTGAATTTGGACCAATTAGGTGTGTATTGATGATATGCTATGTAGCTGAGAAGCCTGACACCATGATAGCCATTGTCCACTGCAAGGGAGGGTGGTCATAGGAAAACACTGATGACCTCAAAAGTAATAAAAACTTTAAAAAATGGGCTGGGCACAGTGGCTTATACCTGTAATCCTAGTACTTTGGGAGGCTAAGGCAGGCAGATCACTTGAGGTCAGGCATTCAAGATCAGCCTGGCCAACATGGTGAAACCCTATCTCTAATAAAATTAGAGACTACAAAAATTAGTCAGACGTGGTGGTGTGTGCCTATATTCCCAGCTACTTGGGAGGTTGAGCCAGGAGAATCGCTTGAACCGGGAGGAGGAGGTTGCAGTGGGCCTAGATCAAGCCATTGCACTCCAGCCTGGACAACAGAGCAAGACTCCATCTCAAAAAAAAAAAAATGTTATTTACATTATTATGCTCAAGTTTTTGACAGTTTCTGTCCAAAATTTGATGGTCCTCCACCCTTCTTGAAGGTGATTATTTTTCGGACATCCTCATCTAAACTTGCATATTTAATCTCTGTCTCATCCGTAAATCACGAATATTATTGCATCCAACTACTTTGTATGAAAAGGCAATCTAATCTTCGCCTCGTTGTCTCATTTCCTAAAGCACTAAACCTTTATGTTGACTTTTGGGACATGCGGGGAGAGACGTTTCCTAGTACTGCATTTTACAAATTAACGTTTGTTAAGCATAATTCCTTGAAATGGACTAGTGCTCTCTGGGATTCATCTTACTCTGTAAGTCAGAAGCACCTTTTCCTTCACTGAGAAGTGTCACTGACTGTTTAAGCCTCTACTTTTTACATGTAAAGCAAGAAATATTAGCAAAATAAGGTAAATAACTTACTTTTTAGTATTAAAATGCTGCTGTCAAAGAATCATACACCAATACTCAAAAAATAGACATTTCTTATGTCTCCTTAAAAGAGGAGTTTTGAAATAGGAAACAGATAAATGGGAATGGTTTATTCCACCCCAGAACTGACCTCGTATAAGGACTTCAGATTTCTGCATTTGTGTCTCCCATCCCCAAATTTTATATTTTTGGTGGCCAATTTCTTGTGGTCAGGAAGAAGCTGATTTACATTCACTAGCTCCCAGCCATTGCCTGTCCTTAAAAGTTCTCAGATTCACCTCTTCTTTTGCCCATCACAACAGACACTGCCCAGACTCAAGGCCCCATCGCTTCCACCTTGCTGACCACAATGGCCTTCTCATCATTGTTCCTCACTCCTGTTTCTCCTCCTCCAGTGTCTGCACCTTGTTGCTGCTGGAGCGGTCTTATAAGCGAATCTGATAATCACATCACTCTGCTATGTAAAGTCTCTCTGGCTGTCTATTATCCTTGACAACATTCCAACACCACAGCCCTTTGTGATCTGGCCCTGACCTGTGGACAGACACATGTGCAGCCACTTCTGTCACCATCTCTGCTTTGTTACACTTGCTCACTGCAGCTACAATATTGGATCATACCTTCTGACTAATAGGAGGGGGACAAATTTTTTTGTTGTTATTGTTTTTTGTTTTATGTTTTGGTTTTTTTGATGGAGTCTCACTCTGTTACCAGGCTGGAGTGCAGTGGTGTGATCTCGGCTCACTGCAACCTCTGACTCCCGGGTTCAAGTAATTATTCTGCCTCAGCCTCCCGAGTAGCTGGGATTACAGGCACATGCCACCACACCCAGTTAATTTTTTGTATTTTTCATACAGATGGGGTTTCACCGTGTTGGCCAGGATGGTCTCAATCTCTTGACCTTGTGATCCACCCACCTTGGCCTCCCAAAGTGCTGGGATTACAGGCGTGAGCCACCGCAACCCCGTTCCGCCAACAAGTTCTTTTTTTAATTTTTAAGTTTAAAGAAAAACTTTTAGAAAAATGAGAGGTTTTCTTCTATATATTTTACTGAGTTTTGTTTCCCTCACATATAGCACTTTGAAGTCCCTGGCATTGTTTAAGTATAGTGCAAAGTAGGAATCTAACTTTATTGTCTTTATTGTGAATAACTAGTTGACTTAGCACTTACACAACAAATATTCTTAAGATGGTCATTGGCAATTTTTGGAGTATTAGCTAAAACATCTTTGACATGTCTTTTCAGTGGAGGCAAAGCTCTTTAAAATTTGATCCCACCCAGTTTTTCAGTGCAGAAAAAATTTTCTAAACACGATACAAAGAACACAATTCAAAAAAAATAAAAAAGAGAGAGAGAGAGAATTAGAACATTACACTTCATCAACAGGTTCAATTAGCAAAATGAAAAGAGCTATAGACTAGAAGTATACATTTGTCATTCATTTATTAGACAAAGGACTAGTATCTAGGACATGTAAGGAATTTTTATAAATAAATAGAGTAAACAAAAAAACCCCAAAACAACAGAAACATGGGAAATGGTTTTTGAACAAGTCAACTGCAGAAGAGAAAACCAGATAAACTTGTTTAAAAAATGCTAAATTTCTTAGCAATCAGGATACACAGGTTAAAAAACATGATCAAAATGCAGTATGCACATAAGAGGGTTAAAAGGGTACACATCTCATATAATGCCTTTTTTTTTTTTTTTTTTACCACAATGATAAAACACACACATGCTGAAACGCAGCAGAATGTCAAAGACTAGAAGTCTGTGGGTACCAAATATTTTCAAGGACAAGAGCAGGTCCTTCATGTACCCACCATGCACCGCTAATAGGAATGTACGTTAGTACAGCTGCCTTGGTACAGCCCACATTTGTTATGTTTAATGGACAATTTTGGGAGCCTTGGGGCTTCGAATACGGGTTATGGTTTTTTAATCTTGAGCAAGATCTCAGATTACAGAGTGAGTAACACATGGGATTCAAATGGCTGTACTCAGAGATAAAGCAGAGGGCCAGAAAAACATCAATCCCCCAGGACCAAGCATAGGTCAGGAGGTCTGGATATGTGGACAGAGGGACAGAGCAGAAAGGATCACAACAAAGGAGAAAAGAATTGCCAAGGCTCTTTTTAGCCTGACTGTAGCACTCCATGAAACTCTCTGCAGCCTCACCTGCGGGTGGGAAGGAATAAGGATACTGAGTCAATTTCAAGCAATCAGCAAATTCCTTTAAACTAGATCCAGATTTTGTATACCTCCATGTTGAAGAAGGAAGAGTCAGTATCCTCCACGGTCTCACAGCCAGAAAGCTGTGGTGCCAGGATTCACAGCTAGGCTTCACTTTCAGCTTCAATATTGGTCATTTTGTTTCAAAAACTAATCCTGTCCATTATTCGTCTTCTCTTTCAGATTGCAAAAGAAAATCCACCATCCAATAGGCAATGAGTGGCATCTTGGTTATAAGACTGTGCAAGTTAAATATAGTTCAAGACACTGTCTGTTTTAGTCTCAAGGCTCTTAACCTATGAAGTGGCCGGGCACTATTTATTTAAACATTAATATGTTTTGTTTCATGGTTTCTCTCCCCCTTCCATGAAGATAGCCAGGCCCTTTGTATTTCCTTTTCCTAGGAATTTTTGCAAAGGTAAAGTAGAGGTCGCTGAGGACAGCTCTCCTCTATTCCCTTCCTCCCCATTCTCGCTTCTTCCTTCTTTCTCCTTTGAGTGAAAATTTGGGCTTTTACCGTTATTAGTCTGTTCTCATGCTGCTAATAAAGACATACCCCAAACTGGGTTATTATTTTATTTTATTTTATTTTATTTTTGAGACAGAGTCTTGCTCTGTCACCGAGGCTGGAGTGCAGTGGCACGATCTTGGTTCACGGTAACTTCTGCCTCCTGGTTCAAGTGATTCTCCCATCTCAACCTCCCAACTAGCTGGGGCTACTACAGCCAGAGAAAGGCTTTCATCTCTAACACGTCTTTGCTGCTGTTGATCAAAGTCTTCCTGACTCGGATACATACCTGGAGAAACAGGGGCCTAGACTCCCAACACAGGCAAGGGTCCTTCAGGCAAGAAACAGCAGCAGGTGCTTGATCTCAGGAGAGCAGACAGGCTTGGACAATGGACATCCCTCGGTACCCAGTGTGGACAGAGGCTCCCGGAACAGGCACCTCCTGGACTCTTTGGCAC